CAATTTTTGTAGGCGATAGCACTTTTGGTAAAAAATTTACGGAAGCTTAACAAAAAAAATACCGCATCCGGCCCGTAACCCGGTAATTACCCGCTTTTGCACCGATTAACCCCTAACATATTGTTCCTTTTTTTACACCTTTTTTATTTGGGGAGCAGGCCCGGGTAATTACCGAAAGGGATCGAGCAAGTTTAAAAAAGGCATTCGCAATTTCGCACCGCCCACAATAACGCCCGACGCTACGTCGAGCACGTCGGAAAAGGCCGTTGGGCTACCGAAACAAAATACTAAAAAAGCCCCGCAAATTTCCGACGATTTCGAAAACCTTTCCGTAAAGGAATTGCAAAAAATAAACGACGCGCTAAAAGCCCAAAACAAGCGCGCCCGTTTAATCCAGAAAATCCAAAATAAAAGGTCGAAGCATGCGCATAAAGGCTTAAACGAAAATAAAAAAAATACCTTTAAGCGACGGAAAGGTTTTACGTAAAACAAAGTTACTTTTAAGCCTTTCATGTTTAAAAAATCGGCAATTTGGCAAAACATCGCCCATTACATTAACGATTACGAATTTATTTTCGAAAACGAAAAAGGACGCTACGGTAAGGACCGTGTAAAAGTTTAAATAACTTCCAACACTTTCGACCATCGTTAACGGGCACAATAAACAAAATATAAGCAAATGCATTACCCAAATACCGGGGTATCGCTTATTTAGGCCGATTTTTTGCGGTGGCTTTAAATAAGGTCGAAAAACCCCGATTTGCGGATATAGCTAGCAATTAAAAAGCTCGCGGGAAATATTGCTATTAAGCAAAAGGATTACAAATCGTTCGAAGCGTTCCGGATTTGTTAGGATTTGGTAAAGGACGACCTTTCCAAATTAGCACCCGAATGGACAAAAACGATATTGCTTTTTAACCGGTTTCGCCCCGAAATTTAAAAACGGGTAATATTTAAAAGCTTTCCTTACATTATGAAAAAATTGCAAGCCAAAGCCCTTAAAGCAAAAATAATATCGAAACCGCACAAAGGGACCCCGGGGGATACAAATGTCTTAGCCTTTAAAAAACCGGTTACTTGCTTTAAATGCGGGCAGCTAAGCCATATCGTTGCAGCATGCAAAATACGGACGGATAACCCGGAAACCCCGTTAGCCCTAACGACCATACAAAAGGCGAAAAGGAAAAGGCCCAAGGTACGGTGTTACGGGTGTAAGGAATTGGGCTATATCCGGCCGGCGTGCCCCAAAAAAAACAAAATATTGCTACCCAATTCGATACCGCTATTTGGCCGTTTAAGCACCGGGGCCTAAGGGTGCGCCCCGGCGGTTAGGACGCGCTGGAAAACCGAAATGTATTTACGGATTAACGGTCGCCGGGTAAAGTTAAAAGCGTTGGTTAATAATAGGAACGACGTTAACTTGTTGCATAGCCGTTTTTTAATGGAAGCAAAAAAAATACCGGTGCCAAACGGGGGCCATTTGGCGTGGTTCGACATTAAAAAACGCATGCCCACGCTAAAGGTAAAAGAATATAAAATTCGGGTAACGAATAATTGGGAAATAACCCAAAAGTTAATAATATTTTACGTAATAATGCCCCGGGCCGGGTACAACATTACGTTGGGCATGCTTTAATTTTAACAAAAGGACATTAAAATCCGGTTTAAAGATATAAAGTAAAGGTTTCCGGTAACCATTAAAAAGGTTAAAATGATTTTGTCGGAAATAGCCAAAAAGCTAATCCAATCGGGATAAGCGATAGCCGTACTAACGGTTGCACGCCCGGAAACCCCGAAAAACCCCGGGGAAAGGCTGGGAGCTTTCCCGGAATGGGTTAAAAGGATAATTGCAAAATATGCGTAGCTTTATAAATTAAACCCTTTGCTAAAACATACAGGCTGGAACTACGCGATTAAATTGGAAAAAAGAACGATGCCGCCCCACGAAAGCATTTATCCTTTATCCGAAAAGGAATTAAAAACCTTCCGGGGGTACTTCGACGAGGCCATAACAAAGGGTTGGATCCGGCATTTAACTAGCCCCGCCGGCGCCGGAATCTTGTTCGTTTTAAAAAAGGACGGGAAGCTCCGCCTTTGTATCGATTATCGGGGTTTTAATAAAGTTACCAAAAAAAACCGGCTAACATTCCCGCTAATTTACGAAATATTCGACCGGGTATTTAAAAGCCAATACTTTACCAAGCTAAATTTAAAAAACGCTTATTACAAAATACGGATCCGATAAAAAAACGAATGGAAAATTGCTTTCCGTTGCAAGTATGGACATTACAAATACTTAATAATGCCTTTTGGTTTGGCCAACGCCCTAACAACGTTTTAAAGCTTTATTAATATAGCGCTTGGGGAATTGATTAATAGCAATTGCATTGTGTATTTGGACGACATCCTTATCTTTTCGAAAATACAAAAAGAGCACCGCGAAGCAGTAAAAACGGTATTAAAGCGATTTAAACGGTTTAAGCTTTACGTTAGCCCGGCCAAATGCAAATTCGAAACGGATAGTATCGACTTTTTGGGGTTTAGAATAACCAAATTCGGGGTTAAAATTTTGCCGGACAAGGTTGTTGCAATTTTAAAATGGAAAATACCGGAAAGCGTTAAAAATATCCAAGTATTTTTGGGCTTTACGGGGTATTATCGGAAATTCGTAAAGGGTTACGCGAAAATCATTGTGCTTTTAACAAACTTTTTTAGCAAGGATACCGTATTTTACTTAAAGAGTATTGCGAAAAAGGCTTTTTGCAAATTGAAGCTGCTATTTACGAAAGCTTTGGTATTGGTGCATTTCGACCTTTCGAAGCCGTTGTGCGTACGGACCGATGCTTTGGCTTTTGCGATAAAAGCGGTGCTATTGCAATTGCAGGACGGCCGGTAGCACCCGGTGGCTTACATATCGAAAAAGCTGCAATAAAAAAAGTTGCGCTATGCGATTTTTAATTTAAAATTGCTAGCGATCGTAAAAGTTTTCGAAAAGTAGCGGCATTACCTGGCTTACTTACAAAAAACTGTTAAAGTAATTACTAACCATTTAAACCATACCCATATTTTAACAAAAAAAAGGTAATAAAGCGCTAAGCAAGGTAATTCGAGGACTTAGTAAAGTACGATTTTACGATTAAATGGAAGCCAGGATACCGGAACCCCGCAAATGGTTTATTAAAACGTTTTTAGGATATACCCGTAAACGGGGAAGCCGATAAGGCAAGGAAGGAATTCCGAAGCGATTTGTTAGCTAAGTTCCGAAAGGCAGCCCACGTAAGGACGACCATTATTAAAAGGGATACTAGGACGACATTAAAGCGCATTTTTAAAGTACAAGCAAAAAACGATTTCGTTTAAAGCGGTACCTGGAAAAACAAGCTTAACGTTTGGAAAATTAGCAACGGCTTGCTTAAGTACAAAGGGAAAATTTGGGTCCCGAATTTAGCACCGTTTAAACGAACAATGCTTTGGGAACAATACGATAACCCAACGGGGGGTTACAAAGGCATGGCCAAAACTTTAAAAAAGCTTAAACGGCAGTTTAAATGGCCGGGTATGGCTAAAAACGTACGCAAATACGTACGGACGTATTAAGTATGCCAGCAAACGAAATCGAAAATACAGGTACCTTACGGGCTGCTAGCACTTTTGCCCGTGCCAAACCGCCCGGGACAAAAGTTATTAATGGATTTTATCGGGAAGCTTTTAACGTCGGTAAATGGAGCCGGCAAAAAGCGCGACGCGATATTGGTAATGGTTAACCGGTTTACCAAATACAGCTTTTTTATTTTAACGTTTACGAAATTAACCAGTAAAAAATTGGGGAGCCTTTTATTTGCATACGTTTAAGGGCTGTTAGGAACGCTCGAAAGGATTGTATCGGACCGGGACAAGCTATTTATAAGCGGGTTTTAAATAACCTTTGCCGGACACCTAAGGGTCGCAAAAAGGCTATCGATAGCATACCACCCTTAAACTAACGGGCAAACGAAACGGACGAACCAGGCAGTAAAGCATTACCTCCGGTGCTTTTGCTGCGAAAAGCAAAACGATTGGGCGTTGCTATTATACCTAGCAGCGTAAGTGCATAATACGAGCGTGCATTCGGGGTTGCAAGAAACCCCGGCGTTTTTGTTAATAAGGTTTTACCTACGAAGGCTTTATAACCTTCGGGTGGTTAAAAAAAAACCTTCGGCAACGGTTAAGGTTAGGGCGGGGGCTTTAAAGGCAATTAAAAAGCAAGCCAAAAAATTGTTAAAAAAAGCGAATAATATGTACAAAAAGTACTATAACAAAGGCAAAACCCCGGTGCTTTTCGGGGTAAGCGATTGGGTATTGCTAAATACAGCGAATATTAAAATGAAAAGGCCGTCGAAAAAGCTATTGGACAAATGGTTGGGACCTTTTTAAGTTTTAAAAATGGTTGGGTTAGCCGGTTTGGCGTTCCGGTTAAAGCTTCCGGTAAGTTACCGGATATACAATATATTCCCGGCAAATTTGTTGCGGGCGTTTAAAAAGAAGCCCGGCGAAAAACCAAAAAATAAGAAACCAAAAATCGAAGGAAAAAAAAGGATCGCTTTAAGGTAAAGGCCTTGCTGGAATACAAAGGGCTTTTGCGGAAACGAAAATATTTGGTTAAATGGATAGGTTACAACGAATCGGAAAATTCGTGGATTTTAAAAAGGGATATTACGAAAAAGATTGTTTAAGCGTATAAAGCAAGCTTATTAAAAGCGAACTTATAGGATAAGGAAAATACCGAACCTTAGCGGGTAAATACCCGGAAGGGACGGGGGTGTTATAAGAAAAAAGTAATAAGGGCTAAAGGAATGGCCCAAAAAAATGTTTTAACGTGCCGAACCGGCTAGTTACCGGGGAAAAACGTAAAAAAACCCGTAAACGGTTTGTAATAACCGTAAAATATCGTGCTTTATAAACAAAAAGTTAGGTAAGAACGGTATAGTACGGGAAACGCTTTAAATTAATAATGCGACATATTTAAATCCCGAAAAATATGCAAAGTGTAGCATACTTCGGAAAGCCCGTAAAGGGCATGCTTAGCGCGATACGCCAAAGCAATTACCGTATTTTAAACGTACGTCGTAGTAAAAAACATTATTGCTTGCCCGAAAAAGAAATGGAAAAACCTCCGGATGGCATAACGGACGGGCTTAAGCGTTCGGGTAGCGGTAAATGCATGTCGGCGGTATTTAAACCCATTAAAGGGGCGAAAAAAAGCATTTTAAAA